GGGGGGGAAAGCAACTAGAATTTTCATACAGGATAACACAAACTTATTTCTAAATTATAAAACTTACTGACTTTATAAATTATAAAGAGTGTGTGTATCTTATTTAAGGCCCAAAATAAGCCAGACAATATTCAAGAACTTGGGGTTGAGAGGCAACAGTACAAAAAACGGTACAAAATTACTCACCTGACAGTCTTGCCTTGTTCTCTTAACATCTTCACCATGTCTGCTATCGGGTACTGGGCTTTGGCTGCACACAAACCCCAGCCTAAACAGGAAAAAATGGTTAAAACACAAGTTAGGAAATCACACTCCTACGCTCTATATTACAAGAGCAACATTTCTTAGATCTGGGGTCTTGATACACATCAGCACCATTGTTCATAGCTGAATAGAAACACAACAGTCCAAAACCATCAATCGTGTGTTCTTTATTCATTTTGCTCTCCTCTCTGCAGTGTCCTCGTCCTTATTCAAATCCCAGCAGTTCAATAAGTCTGAGATCAATCTCTCTGAGAAACTGCACCGTAATGTATGATGGATACGGGACTCCTGCGTGCAAAGAACCGTTTTGCCTCACCACTGTTTAACCCTGGTGGTCATGTTCCTAACAGAGTTCAGCATAGCCTCTTGTTAAGATTTTCTTCCCTGTTGTTGTTGTTCTGAAGGCAGTCACTCATGACCTGTACGGTAATTCCCCAGACAGCCAGAGCCTTCTGTTTTCTCACTGCCCTCCTTTGTTGTTGACAGCGCATGGAGAAGTCTAGAGCCTGGACCTAATAGTTGCTTCGACTTTTCCCTGTTACTGTAATCAAACCAGCGTGTTGGACCACACATCTGTCCTCGCGTTGGTCCGCGGCCATTAGGCAACAACAGCGAGACGTGTTTCCAAGATTTTCAGAATGGTTGCTCTAGCTCAGGCTGCTTAAACAACAACTTATCTGTCAGATAGATCTGGTTTTTCTTTTGTTAAGAAGAAGAAGAGGTAGAAAAAAACATGATCTGGTAATTATCTCAACAATCATTTTTTTTATGTTGGTTGACAGATGATTCCAGGATCGACTGCTAAGTGCACTGCTCCCTCTTGTGGTGCCTGATCTTTTCTTTTGTTGTCTCAAATGAATTAATCACCACCATCAGTCACAGTCGCTGACATTTCCAGAGGATTGCAGGTTTTTTCATCACTCCCGTTTGGATGCATCTTTTGGCAGAGCAGCCAGTCTGAACCTTTATTTTGTCAGGTAAATGGAACAAAAGACAGATGTTATCACAGAGCCAGACTGTCTGAGCAGAGCGGAGAATTCACTCTGTTTGGTCATGATATCATCCCACGCTGCAGCTGTGCCCCACCTGAAGCAAGATCAAAGTTAGATGTTGGTGTTTCCCAAAAGGCTGTTTTTTTTTGGGGGTTCTCTCTCTTTTTTTTTTTTTTTTTTTTTTTGGGAACGTTGCAATGTGGTTACATCTGTTTTGAGCTAATTTTTCAACAAAAACGTCCAAAAGAAGCAGAAACACTCCCACACCGCGACATGCGATACTTCTGAACTCGTTCAAAAAGAGTTTTATGAATATTTTTGTTTTTGTGCCACATGCTATGACAGTGTTTGATGCTGAGTTTTGGCATTATTTTTAATGTTTGTTCATAAAGTTTGTGTAACAGAGTGTCCACAATCTGTTTAGAAAACAGACAAAATGTTACAGCAGGATAAAATGGCGAGTTATTCCCAGGTTACTCATCAAGAATTGACTAATTAAAACATGTGTAGCTTTTTTTTATTTGCAGATTTATTGGTATCCAAATCGTTCCATGAGTGGAACTTTCGAATTTCTGTATGATCGACTGGAACAAAATGTTTTGTCCCGGTCGCGATTGTAGGTCTTCACCTGTACATAACAAAAAACAAACTAGCATACAGAGAAAAGATACAATCCCCTCCACAGTTACTCTCACTCCTGTTGAAGATGTGCAGAGATTTAAAAGAAATCATAATCTTAATTGCAGTGATGTAATCTTCCACTGATTTTATTCTAGTACGGGGGGGCACAACGGCAAAATACAAAAACAACAATATCACACTCAATAATAATTAGTGTGAAATAACTTTAACTGAAGCATTTTTTAATTATGACCTCAAATATTTAATTGAATTTGAATGTATAAAACCTTTTACTTAATATTTAATGAGTTATTGTTTTCCCTGGGGTGTAATGTTTCTTTTAGCCTTTAGCTTGCTGGGCAAAGACTAATGTTTATCCTGCCACCATGAAGAGTGAGGGGACAGTGAGATGTAAACATTTTACTGTAAGGGAACTGCAGCAAAGAGTGGCATCTGGGGTCTCCAAGTCTCCATGACAACCATTAGACAGCATCTACACACCAACTAGTTGGCAGGAAAAAATATTTTCTGTCCTACCATCACAAAGGAAAAAATTGGGAGCTGTTTGTCTTGTTAGGATGTGATAGAGATTGAGATTTTCCAAATCATAGGACGAGTATATGAAAGACAGCCTAACACCCACGAGTACGTACGGAGGAGGATCTGTCATGCTGTGGGCCTTGTTATCCTCCAGCGTGCTGGAGTGCAATACCGGGAGGCTGTGAAGTTGACTGAGAATGGGTAATGACAGTTTTTTCTTTGCTTTTTTAATGTGCAATGATCCAAAACAAAAGGTCAAATCAACGTATAAGTGATATAACAGAGACAAAATCAACTTTCTTCGCCTGCCGCCTCAGTTCTTAATACCCTGTAACACCTGCTGTGTGAGCAGGAGAGAGGAGATCATGAGATCATTCAGGAATCTGGATGTTCTGGACAGAATGTGCGAAATGAGAATCGTTGAAAAATCCTTCTCTCTGTTTGATCCAACTTTGTGAAACGGAGAACACTTATTGCTGCTCTAATGGAGCGGAGAGTACAAAAACAGAAGGGAGGCAATAATTATGAAGTCACTTATTTCGTTAAAAGCAATTATTTCTTAGCACGGGAATTTTCCAATGCACTAAAACTTTTTTTGTTTTTTAAGATTTTCAGTGCGAGATAATAATAGTAATAAAAAAAGCAGGAGTATTTGAATGTTTTTACACATGTAGTGCCAATACTTGAGGATATGAATGTGTTAACTTTGTAGAATCAGAGATGTAAAGAAAAAGAAAAACCTGAGGCTGTAATCATAACACACTGGATAATCAACACTCAGAAATACTGCATGTTTCTTTTTAAAGTCTACCTGGAGTGATGATGACGGTGTTGGCTTCTTTGATTATGTCTATAGTTTGCTCCACATTGACCTCGGTGTGGGTGCCGACGATCTCCATGGGCTTCCCACCTAACGTGGAGGTGGTGCCGTACCCTCCCAGGATCACGTTGGGCAACGAGCGGTTCATGGCCTTGGAGGGAAGGAGGGACTCCATCTCAGATTCTTATCACAAGCGTGGCCCAAGTGAAACGCATCTACTCACCACACACATGATGTACGAAAGGATGGCGCCAGAGGAGCCGATCAGGGCTCCCACAATCGTCATGAGGTTGTTGTCTAGCAAAAAGCCCTCAGCACAGAGCGCCCATCCTGAGTAGCTGTTCAGCACAGTGATGACCACCGGCATGTCTGCCCCACCGATAGCTGCTGTGAGTGTTACACCCTGGAAGAAAGGTGTGCAAAAACGTCTGTGCTACTCAGTTTCGCTACAAGGCTCGTTGTAGCTTAAACATACTTGGCATCTAACAAAGTGAAACAACAAATTTCATCAGCTGAAATATAACCGTATCCAGACCGGTTTTTGGAACTTTTTTTCTTTTGTCTGAAAATGTGTTTCCTCAAAACCGAATCTTTGCTGCCTCATCTGTTTGCTGCTCAGATGTTGCTGTAAATCTCACCATGACAGCTGAAAGCCCGGACACCCCCATCAGGCAGCCCATCCCGGTGCCGTAGCTGGAGCTGAGCATAAAGGGCACCATGCCTCCCATGGACGCCGCCATCAGACCGGCGTTCAACATGTGTCGACCAGGCAACAGCAGGGGTGCGGAGTCCAGGAGGCCTACAGGCAAAGAGCAGTTATTTTCAAAAGCCAGAAATGATTGTCAATCGTTTGTAGGGATAATTGACAACATAAAACACAGAGCGCAATTAGTTTCAAGCGCCCCTTTGGAGGTCCAGATGTCTCTGCGGAGGAATCTATTACAATCTGTTACAAGACAACAACTAATCCTGCAAGCAGAGCCACTGCCCTGTGGTCAACAAATCACATCTTACCAGAATGTTTCTCATGTGTTCCCCTTGATCAATTCACACAACAGTTTAAATAAAAGACTGCTGATAAGTGCACGCAAAGCCCCAACCCTGACCTGGACTCCACAGAGGATTTGGCTTCAACCACCAGGAGACAGTCAGTGCAAGTGGATATATGAAGCTCTGTGTGTTTCGGTGCCTTGTAAAGGTATTCGATTCAACTTTTTCATCTTTTGTTAGTTTACAGCTGCAAACTGGTGTTTAGAGGGAACAATGTGACAGACCAATACAAAGTGGAACATAACTGAATTATTTTTGCAAGGCATTGTATCTCGCTAGTAGACCAGAACCTCGGTTTTGGTGTTTCATAAACTTCTAAGCTTCAGACCCACAATAACAAAGGTCATCATGGCAAAAACCATCCCTAAAAACATTATTTATAATGGTTTTAATGTAATTACTGGTTAAATAATGTGCGGTTTAAATTTAACCTAAGGTCTGAAGGCAAGCTCAGGACCCCCCACAAAGTGTTTCTCAACCCAAAAGGTCTCCGATGCATTTGAATCTTGGAAAAGCTGAACACAGTTTTGGTCAGCGGCTCCAACCTTGCAGCTTTCCGTAGGCCACCAGAGATCCGCTGAAGGTGACGCCTCCAATGTAGGTACCCAGGTAGGCCACGGTCTTCAGGACACCGGCTGCAGGGTGTGTTTCCAGGTGAGGGAACTCGATCATGTACTCGGCGACGCAGGTGAGGACAGCCGCGAGTCCCACCAGGCTGTGGAAGGCCGCCACCAGCTGTGGCAAGTCCGTGATTTCAATACGCTTGGCGATGGTGAGGCCTGCGGTCGAGTTGTGACATCAGTAAGTTATTACTGTTATTATTCAAATTATTTGAAAGCGAAAAAGAGCGAAATGTTATCAAGTCAACACCTGTTTTCTGCTACAAGGTCAAATCAAGCAAAGTAGTCGGTTGGGCTTGCTGAAAAGAGATGCAGCTGCAGCACTGATGCATATGCATGTACAGTAAATTAAAGGGGTGGTATTGCTTTCCAGCATGTGGTGCCATTTTAAAGCATAATCAAATCACTATATTACCTTCAGTTGCTATAAAAGTGCTACATATATCAAATATGACTTAAAAGAAATTTGACTTGGTAATTGAAATTGGGCCTCTGTCGCTTTAAAAACTCCTGCTCTTTCCAACACTCCGCCTTGAGGAAGTCATCACAACGTCACTCCTCTATTAACCCTTTAATTATGTTTTCACGAGCTTTACACTGAAAATTTCTATTATCAATAGCTCATATAATACCTTGTTACTTCAGGTATTATTGCATTGAATATCATTACCTGGAAAATCAAGGGACTACCGTGATACAATTTCTTTTGATGTTATTTACTATAACATAATGTAAAGCTCAAAGAAAGCCAATTTTACATAACCGCGCCCCCTCGAGGATCAGTAATTGTCTTAACACTAAAACTAAAAGATGAAATCTTTCATAAAGACTCAAGTAGAGAATTGCAAAATTAAGATATATACTGATAAATATCCAAACTGTGATTCAAAAACCAATAGCCATTGCTTTCTTTCTTTGTAGGTCAATAGTCTGATCACACAGCATGTTTCTATGTGGTCTAGATAGTGGAGAACAATACAATATTAGACTGTGCTAAAAAGGGAATAATCAGTGCCAGAGAAGGGACTTTCCAGCGTCGCAGTGCTGTGTTAGAGCTACAACACAGAGATAGTTTTAAAAACACATACCAAGGGTCCCCCCAGTGGCCATAGCTAACGACATCTGAGACAGCAGCTCTGGCGACGGCTTGAGGGCGCCGATGGTGGCAGCAATGCCCCCTGCTACTCCCATCATGCCCAGGGCGTTCCCCAGTCGAGACGTGTGCTGGGCGGAGAGGCCTGCCAAGGCCCCGACGCAACACAAGCCTGAGCCCAGGTACATCATCTGAGGGAATTAATTAAAGAAACTGAAAAAAAAACTCAGTCAAGTCACACAAAAAAAGCAACAACCAAAATAAGTATATTTATTTCCCTGCAGTTGTGTAAGACTGGTAGATTAGAGACTCTTCCATCACCTGCTCTATGCTGTACCCAGCAGCCAGTGAAGCTCCGTATCCTCCGACGAAAGCAGCCCCGGGCAACAAGTAAAGGTAGTTGTATTCAGGAGGGTCAGTGGGACGCTTGAACATGTCCAGCATTCTCTGGGTGATGAGGAAACCACCTGCACAGGCACAGCAAAAACAAAGCAAAAAAAAAAAAAAGTAGCACCCACTTAGCTGCACAGCTAATAAATCACGTTCTCCTCTGATGTGTCCGTGATGAGTGTCAGACCGGCAATGTTGATGGATGAAACGAAGGCGGCTGCCAGGGCGAGAGTCTCGGGCAGGCTGGAGGGTGCGAGACCTCCACCCATCAGCACCAGACCTCCTACCGCGGTCAGGCCTGAGAGGCGGAACAGGCAGCATGAGTAACAGCAGCAGAGAGCCACACGAAGCGCCAGGCTGTACCCTGACCCCCTGACCTGAGATAGCGTTGGTGACAGACATGAGAGGTGAGTGCAGAGCGGGGGTCACCCCCCACACGGTGTGGTATCCCACAATCCCAGCCAAACCGAACGTTGTGACCATCTGAGTGAAAGCTGCATTTGGGGAGATGATGCCCAGAGCCAGACAGGTGGACACACCTGATGTAAAGACAAACAGCAGAGAAGCACCATATTAGCATCTTCACAGCTTTTTTATTTTTAAAGCTAGGATCCCTCAAACTGCACTCAATTACCCAAAATAGAAGAAAGTGTGACTGCTCAGTTACCATGTCATTCATTTTCAATCTTTCTTTGATATATGCTCATACTGTTTTGTAGAGCTACTGAGGTTATAAACATAAACAGCTCTAAAGCACTTATAAAGTGCCTGTAATAAACAACAATACACAAGATTAAGAATCAGGCCTCATCCAGACAAAAAAAACATGCATGTTCTGTTCAGTTTTCATAGATATCCCAAGGGCAAATATGTTTACAACAAGCAACATATATAAAAGCAACAACAACAACAAAAAACATCCACTGCTGGTACAGGACAACTACAAATATCAAGAGAAATAATGGATCATCTCAAATCATAGCACATAATAGACAAAATTAACAAGAATATAAAATGTGTCTTATTAAAAAAAAAAAAAAACTAAAAAGGGGTCTAGTCTGGCTATTGCAGTCTAAACCAGGGAGATTAAGGTCAGCAATGGCAGCAGGAATGAAAGAAACCTCTGAGAACCACACCAGGTTCTGATCTTAGAGATCCTGCAGCGGCGGCCAGATGGAAGAAGATGAAACTCGCTCTAAAGTGGATGTTGTGCGTTGTTAACGATCAGTTCTCACACGCTTGGAGTGTATTCTGGAGCCAGGCTTGCTTTACTCCAATTACCTTGCTTGCCACATTAGTGAGCCTCATCAACCAGTTTTTACTAGACGAGGTAAGGAAACAAAGCCACGCAACAATAAAAATAGAACAGAATCAATAAAACACTGATAAAATAGAGTCACTAATAAATTACAAACTTTAAAAGAGCCCAGTTTACTTTAGAAAAAAAAAATAAAATGAAAAAAGGTGCTGCTGGACCTATTTACACCCTGCATCCGTTTTTGATTAAAAGCCCAGCTTATTATCAATAAGAGTTTATACTCGCTTACGATTTCAGCTTCCAGGTTATGAACCATAGTGATGCTGGACTGGGATTTATGAAGGTCAGTGAACATGTCTTTAGTTTCGGATGCATTAATTGCGCCATGCTGTAAAGACCTCTACAACGGCACCTTTCTCAGTTTTACTGTCGTTTAAAAGACTTATAACAGTCATCAGCAAATTTCAAAGTGTGTCTGTTCTGATGTGAGCTCCTGCAGGAACTGCACAAAGAATAAACGGCACCGAAGAAAGTACACCACCCTGCAAACAGGAAGGATAAGTGTGACAGCTCGCCATTAATTTTCACACATTGTGACCGATCTGACAGAAAGTCTAACAACCAACCTACAAGATTTGGATTCAGATGAAACGCTGACAAAAGTTCATTCGCAAGAAGATAGGGCTGGGTAGTATTAAATGCAGATGGAAAATCAACAAACCACAGCCTTGGATGTGTTTTAGGGACGTCCAGATGTTCCACTAAAAGGTTTATTAAAAACAGAGTGGCGTCCTGCACACTCCCGCCTGAGGAGGACCTAAAGTGGCCAGCAGCCTGTTTCAGATCGCCCTTTTTCATTATCCTCACAAAGCCTTCATCACCAAGGAGGTGAAGGCTACTGGTCTGAAGACATTGAGGACTTCATGGCTCTTATATTTTTGCAACAGGAACAATTGTGGCATGTTTCCACGCTTTACAATCTGCTGCTGAAGAGACTGATTAGAAATCATTTTCAAAATTTCACTAAGTTATAAAGCACAATGCTCTGTCATTTCTGAAAGTGCAAGAACTACAGTAGCTACACTAGGTGTGTTACTGTCTTAGGAGCATGCACGTGGTGCTGACATGGTGGAGGTACAATATAATCATTTTTAAAAATTACATTTGCATACCCTTCCCCTTCTTCTCTGTTTGTGGTGTATTCTGATACACTATTACAGCACCACATATAGTATTTTTGTGTGGACGAGGATAATCCTACAAATAATCCCATGTTTCCAGTTAACTTTTTAAATAAATAGAGCAGGAAAAACACAGTTTTCTGAGCAACTTTGTTTTTTCGTTGTCTCTTAAAGTGAGAAAAAAAAGTAAGGCTGCATTTTTAAATGTTGTATGTAGAGCTATGCTACATTTCAAACCAAAACTAGAGACATAAAAGGAACACTTGATGGTACAATGATAAATATCTAGAGCATATGTGAAAACATGTAAAATATTAACCTTTGTATTTATGTTTAGAGCATAACGTCCTGAACGAATCTCTTCTGTCTGACTGGCGATTCACTCCAATGACTCCAGTGGCAGAACAGAAAAAAATATGCAAAAAGGACAAATACCGTCGTACTCATGCCAAGTGGCTAGTTCTGCACGCCTCCAACAAAAAGACTGACAAAAACATCCATTTGAGTGGGGATCTAGATTTGTATCGTCAACGATTGGCACTTTGCAATGCATGTTGGGAAGGAACAGCAGCTCAGCTTCACATTCAAGCACCTAAAATACACACAATGCATGTTTTTTTTTGTTTTGTTTTGTTTTTTTTCTTACAGTTTGCTCTAGCAGTGGAAGATAAAGGAATAAGAAGAGACTCACAGACACTTGAACAATTTTCTTCTGCGTTCAACCTTTCCTCGAGCTTGATCTAATCTGAAGAATGTACCTCAGAATGCAGTGGAGCTAAGACATCCACAACAAAATCTATAGATGAATATTTCCCCCCTGAATCTGATGCTTTGTGTCTGACCTGCAGTGTAGACGCCGGCAGAGGTCAACGTGCGGTTAAAAGGGGAAACTGTTGCAGCTTTTTCGGCTTCCAACTCTGCCACGGTTTTCTGTTTCACGGGGGCCGGCGGGGTCGTTTTAGGCAGTGGAGACGGGAACATGTTGTGACCTTCCTGTTCAGGCAGAGAAAAAAAAACACACACACACACAAATATACCCTAGTGAGCACTAGTAAAAGATCCATGAGGTCTACATGTTAGACAGAGAATTGAATATTTGTGAAATTTGCATTTTGGAACATCTGGACTGGATGCTGGCAGTTCTGCAGCAGGAGATTACACTAAGCAAACAGTACTCATCGACCAGTTAGCAAGGGTTTTGCAGATGAATTTACTTTAGAAAGACTTGAATCCTGAGTCGGTCCACCAGCAGTAAGTCGATATGCCCTACCGAGCTCGCATGATTTCACTGCCGTAGACATTGTGTCCAAACCAAAATTCCTGGAAATGTTTCCAGTTTGAGCCTTACCCAGCTGGAACTGGGAACTTTTTTTTTTTTGTGGGGGCGCGGGGGGCCTGGAGCTTGACTTGACAAGATGTGATAGCTCATGCTGAGAGAGAGTGGAGGACGCCAGCAGAGACTTTTACAGCAAATCAAAACCAACCTTCATCACAAGAGTCCCACGGATGACATGGTCGATTGTTCCGTAGTCAAATTCCTCGTGGGGCTCGTAGTGGAAGTACTCCTTGTCTGGACTGATGGCTTTCAGCAGCTTCAGGACGTTGTTGGAGTACAGAGTGCTGGCCTGTGTGGGCATGCGGCTGGGCAGGTCGGTGTAGCCTATGTGAGTGACTCCCTGGTTGGAACAGAAAACGTTCTTGATCTGTGAATTTTCCTCTGGGGTGAACAGGCTGGGGAACATTTTTATTACTGTACTTTAAGACGCAGACAGAAAGCTGACCTTGTAGACGTACAGATCTCCTGGCTTGGTGGTCTCGATGTTTCCTCCGGTTTCTGCAGCCAGGTCCACTACCACAGAGCCGTCCCGCATTGACTCGACAAACTCCTTCTTAATTAACACAGGAGCCTTTTTTCCTGCACGATCGGAGACACAAAAAAAATTATAAACTAAACTGAATTTGAACCAGACTATTTTATGCTAATATGGACTAAACTGAAAGTTTTGGACTTGAAATGAAATGGGCTGACACAGTTAGTTCCTATTTTTGAAGCAGAACCCCCCAAAAAAGAATATCAAAATAAGGACTTTTGACAAATAAAGTCATCTGTTGGAATGGCCAAGTCAAAGTCCAGGCACTAAATCCACCCAAGAAATTCTTGTAAGTCCTTGAATATGACTGTGAATGCTTTTTATCCAGTAAGACTGACGTTAGAGATATTCTCCAAAGGAAAAAGCCTAAATATTCAGTCCAATATGTGCAAAGCCAGTGGAGACAAACTGTACCCTGCAGCTGTAAATATGGTGAAAGGTAAATCTCCAAAGAACTGACTTGGGTGGTCAAACACAAATGCAGGCCACATATTTTAGATTTTGATTTGCAGAAAAGTTTAATAAATATGTATCCGTTTTCTTTCAAGAGATACACATCCTTTTGCAGCGTACTGTAAATACCTCTTTCGACATACTTTTCACCAGTAAGCATCAGAGCTGAGTGTGTTATCTCTGAGTGGGGCCTTGCGAGTTGTTTATTAGCAAATTAATTCATCCATCTTTCTGACATGCAGAGTCCTGTAATCCATCTTGCAAAGTTTTGCTCAGGCAGGAGCTTTTGCACGGATGTTGGGGACCCTCCAAAGATTGAATAAACTTCAAGTCAGTTAACATGTTTGGATAAAACCGTGTGGAAATAAAGCCTTAGATCAGCATGTTAGCCTTGAAATCCATCAACAAAATCAGCAACGACTTGAGCTTTTAAAGTCTTGTCTTGCAACTCATTTCCTTTTTTTTTTTCTTCTTCTTCTTCTTCTTCTTCTTCTTCTGCTTCTTCGACAATCGACTTAAAAAAAACACACTAGATGTATGCACGCTTCCAAGTAAGAAACAGTAGGCCATTTATCTTTTCTTAAACACTCGAACATAAAGAGAAATGGTTGAAGGTTTCATTGTTTCCGACCTGGAATCAGGGCAGTGCTGATGACGATGTCGACATCTTTACACTGCCTGGCGAACAGGGCCATCTCAGCCTCAATGAACTCCTTTGACATCTCCTTGGCGTAACCTCCGACCCCTTCGCCAGACTCTTTGATGTCTACTTCCAAAGGCTCTGCCCCAAATGACTTGAACTGCTCAAGTGCTGCTGGCCTGACAGGAAACAAACAGTCAGCTTTTCGTCAAGATCACGAACCATCATCGCCGAGTCTGGCGATCTGAAACACGAGGCGTCCTTTTCCTTTCATCTCATACCTGGTGTCAAAGCCTCTCACTATGGCTCCCATCGACTTGGCTGCCCCTGCTGCTGCTAAACCAGCCACCCCGCCTCCAATAACCAGGACCTGAGAGCAGCAGAAACATCAAGAGAAGAATCAGTTCGCAGTTTTTAATGTGTACGTGAAAAGAAAACGCCCAAAGGTGGACAGAAGCCTCTCAATTCAGAAAATAAATAAATAAATAAATGTTCAGCTGAAGGTTACCTTAGCTGGAGGGACTTTTCCTGCAGCTGTGATTTGACCAGTGAAGAACCGGCCAAAGTGGTTGGCAGCCAGAACCACAGCTTTGTATCTGCCAAAATAACACATTTAACAAAACCCACATTCTTTGTTGTTTTCTTATGTTTACAGTATATGACAGAAAGTGTGAGTCTATTCCTATTGATTTCTAATATGATATGACACAGTGTCTAATTTAATGCTTTTGCAATTATGTTTTGCAGGTCATGTAAATTTGTTGTCAAAATTCATAAAACCTAAAGCTTTTTAGGTTTTCTGTAAATCTTTTATTTACAGAAAAGATTTGATGAGCTTAATTAAAACCAATGACATGAGTTTTCCAACTAAGAGCAAGGAAACATCTGAACCTGGCCTTAGGTAAGTTATCAAAGTCATGTAAATGACATTAATCAGATAAAAACATCACCAAAATAAGTAATAACAATATTGACTTCTGTGTATTCAGAATTAGGCAGTTTATTTTAGGCTTGATTTTAAAAAAAAGTGCACCGTTTTCATTTATTAGGGTGCCTCTTTACGTAAACTGATTATAATTGGAATGCTTTCTGTTTTTATGAAAACAAAAGCAACTTTCAGAGTGTCCATATCTGTTTATATTTATATTTGCACTGCCACCGCTGAGCACAGGTCTTACAACTAAGATAAAGGTTGTATATATTGGTGTTCATAGCACTTTTTAACTACTTCTGTGCCAAACTTTAACAACTCATTATAATGAAAATAAAAACATTTGCAATAAACTGGTCGTCATTTCATAACAACACATGTCCAGCTGGCTGAAGGGATTAGTTAGTTGTATCTCAGGGTGTTAAGATGAAATGTATAAAATAAGTTGCTCTTATTTTTACATTTATTTACTCTCAGTCAGTGAATATTTATCAAGTTCAGATGGATGAATGGATGCTCTCATCTGAGCACATGACACACATCATCAGGCAGCGATACCAGCTGCCTAGCAACAGTGGTATTACCTCTTATCTGTGTGTTTGTCTGTACATACGTGAATCTCCGTGATTATCTAGATATTTCTTTACCCAGCGATGTTGGCCATGGAGCTGAGAGCGTCGTATCCCTGGGCGATGGTAACTCTGGGCACCTGGTCCATGGCCAGCACGGTGCTCTGCCTCTCTGACAGCTTCTTCATCAGGTCTGGATTCTGTGCCGGATAAATGAAGCTCACCAAGGTGGACTTGGGTTTCAGGAGGTCTGCTTCGCTTAAACTGGGAGCTCGAACCTGGGAAAGAACGGGAATAAATGAGAGGCAGTGTAGATTATAGCCTTGCAGACAGCTAAGGGACGATGTTGAGAGGATCAGAAGGGACGTGCGAAACCTTGAGGACCAAATCTGAGCCAAGAGCTCCCTTGACGTCGGTGATGGTGGCTCCTGCGTCCTTGTACTGCTGGTCAGAGAACTTGGCTTCATCTCCGGCTCCGCTCTCCACCTGCACCTTGAAGCCCTGCTTGACCAGAGCCTGAACCCCGGCAGGCGACAACGCCACCCGACGTTCATTCAAAACAGTTTCTTTAGGAACACCGACCACTAAATCTTTGTAGAGCACACCTAAGTGAACACACAGCGAGTGACAGTTAGGCCCGCCTTCCTTCAGAGGATCTCAGAGAGCATT